TATAAGATAACTTAAATCGAAACTTGTTATGTATGGTAACCAGTCATTGTGAGGCCTTTATATCATCTATAAGGTATCCATAGTCCTCACAAGTAAAGTGTACTGTATGACACTCATCTACACCTTATCATCTATAAGGTATCCATAGAACACATTTATTTCCAATACACATACATCTTACTGTATACACAGGCTGTATATCAATTTTTCATAATACAAAGCGCTCACTTTATCTCATCTGACATTTTTTATAGATCTTATAATAATCTTACGATATATGTTATTCGCTACCATAACTAATGATGGTGACGTAATTTTATAATTTTTTTAATTAGTGCACGTTGTTATGTTGCATTAATTACTTAGCTAATATACGATTTATTTTTTTCTTCTGGACATCTGCCCATATGTACTTTTACCTCACTCAGCTAACTTCTTAATAATAGTTAACCAAATATGTGTCAATGTAGCAAGCAGATCAAGCAGAAAAAAACTTTTCCTTCATATTCATTAATCTTTCAATTTATTCAATGAAATTTTTATAAAGTTTACATCACCTAAATGTTGACAATATAATTTAATTTAAGAAAATAACAAAAGAATCCATCAAATTTTTTAAATTTTGTTAGACTTTCCCAATACGCAGCAATTTCAGACGCAAGTTCCAACTGCGCAACAATTTCAGACTCAGTTTAAAAAAATATTTAATACATACGGCTAAATATGAAGCAAAGTTAGAAACTATTTAAAAATCTGAAAACCATAAATCATTTTTCAAAAACCAATTCATTTTGTGTATTTTTTTATTGGTCTTGGTCAAACAAAAACTTTTTCATTTTATTTTTCTAATGAATTAACCATTATTTTGATGTTTACATCTCAGTAGCGCAATTAGGGGGGATTCCATAGTACCCGGAAACCCCTTTTTAAATTGTTAAAAAAATTAAATTTTCTTGTTACTGCTTTATACACTACTAATCGTTATTAAGTGTATTGTATCAAGTTCGACAGGAAGAAAAAGTGTTGGAATTTGAAATGAATATGAAAATGACTTTATGCCAAAAAGTTAAATATATAATATATAAGTATGCACGCTTTGGGTTTCATAAAGTAAAAACCAAGGATTCATAAAATTGGAAACCCCATTTCAGAAATCCTAATTGCGCGGCTGTATCTTTTTTATTATTTTATACGAAAGTAAAGTACCAATAAAATGCTTACAAACATTTTACCAATTGTAAAATGTTTTTTACTAAAATCTCATCGTCTCTTTCAGAGCGCGTCATATAGTTAGCGCTAAAGTAACAATTAAAATAAAAACTATGTAAAGATTTATTCTTGAAGATTAAATTTTTTCATGATTTTAGAATTTTGTTTATCATTAACATATTTAGAGTTGCATTATTTTAATTTTTATAAGTTTTTAACGTAATAAAGTAAACAATATAGTAATGATAAAAATAAATGTTTTCAGAATATAAAAAATATTTTTATAATATGATAGATTTATAGGAAATAATAATAATAGAAATACAGGAAAATAACAAGAAAAACACTTGATAACTCTCACATAAAAAAATAACTCTCACATTAATAAAGTAAATATTCCGGAAATGCCATCAAAAGGTGGAACATCTTTGGAACATCTGATGATGTTCCAAAGGTTAACATTCTCAAAATTATTTGCATTAGACCTCCTATCTCTTAATGTGTAAATAAGTACAAATAAAAATCGAATTATGGATTCCCATTGAAATTTGATTTTTGAATTGTTTAGCAAAAGTTTACTAAACTCATCCATAATATGTTGCTTTGCTAATTTAATTTTTTTTTGAAAAATATTTTCAAGCTATTTTAGAATTTAATATTAAAAACAAATGCAAATATTTTAACAAAAATTCTAAGGTTGTAGTGATTATTGATTAAATAAATGTCGGCACATGTACTTTTGTTGTTTTGTTTTTTTTGCTTTTTGTTAGCGCTCTCCAACGTTTTTCTTCTTTTTCCCTATCTGATTTGACGGTCTTGTCACGAAGATTCTAAAACAGTTATCTACAGTCAATAGATATCAAGATTATTAATGTCTACACTTGTAGATATCAAAGCTGAAACCAGATCATAAAATTTTATTTGGGAATTACGAAAGTAAACTAATTTTTCTTTTGATCTGCGAAGGTGAAAAAATTCATGAGATTTCTTAGATTTTATCCATTGATTAACCTTTACCATTGATTAACATTAATGTTTAAAAATAACTGATAATAACCATGTTTTAAAATAAATGAAAATAACCATGTTTAAAGATAAATGATAATAACAATGTTTAAAAATAAATGATAATAGCCATGTTTAAAAATAAATAATAGCCATGTTTAAAAATAAATGATGATAACCATGTTTAAAAATAAATGAATACATTTTCTGTTAATTTTTTAAGACTTTATTTAAAAGGAGTTAAAGTGAAAATCTTGAGAAATATCTTTAAAAGTTTTTAAAACAATATTGTTTTATAAAAATGGTCCACGAAATAAAATAAAAAATGTTAACTACAAATTACAAAAACAACAAGCGATAAGTTGGTTTTACATTTATACATAAAACAAAATAGGAGAATGCTGCACCATGATACATAGGGCACCATGAAACATTGTAATTGTGGAGGCATCTTGAGAATTGTGACAACTACTTTCATATGGTGGAACAGTTACTTCTAGAGTTATGTTTCGACAAAAAAATATATATCATTTGACATCATTATGAGTAATTTATTAGTTTTTAAAGGTCATAAGTTTTAAGGTTATCTTATTCAATTATCTTAGTTATTTTATAAACTACAATCCTTGAGCTCTTTACTTCATTAAACAAGATCATTGAAAAAACAAGCTGATGCTAAAAATAAAGTAATTTTTTTCTATTAGAAAGTGTGGGGTAATTTGATACTGCACTTTTAAGGGGCCCTAAAACGTTAGAATTGTACTTATTGTGTCATAAAAAATTCTAAATTATTATTTTAATATTTACAGTCATTTTTTAAGAAACTTATGTAAATATAATACTAGGAGATCCAGTTTCTATACAAAGCCATTATTTATTGGCGCTTAAGAGTGACATTTAAAACATTACATTACCTGGTTTTCTGAAATGTGATTTGGACTATTAAATTCATTATTTGAGTTATAGTTATTAATTTGTTTGTCTTTCATGTAAAAATCTTCATTTTTTCTATATTTTATTTACTTATTTAATGATGTATTTGTTTACTTATTTAATGATGTATTTGTTTACTTATTTAATGATGTTTTATTTACTTATTTAATGATGCTCATAGTGTGTATCAAGGTATGGGTAGGGTGTATTGAAACGAATTTTACTTTAAACAGTTTCACAAGCTTAACCAGTTATATTTTGGTAATTTATAAATTTAATTTTGTAAGTATAAATTTATTCTACGAATTAAACTAATCGCCTAACTACGAATTAAACTAAACTATATTAAAAACATTTAGTTTGTATATATTAAAAACCTTCATATCATATAAAAGATCTTCAACGTGAGTAAAACAGAGAGGTTCTAGTTTATTTTTTTGATACTACCCCAAGTACTGTTTGCATAACTGATATGGCAATACGCTTCTTGTTTTTCAAAAAATATCTTTACTCTTTGAAACTTTACTACCCAAGTTAGCATTGTGGTTTTTCCAAGTTTTTTCTGAAAATCTTGTTACTGAAACTTTTTTAATAAATATATCATTAATAAAAACAAAAAGCATGACTGTTATCAGTAGGATAGAAAAGAACCCATTTAGTATTAGAAATGCTTCTCATTAACATGAATCGTTTTTTTTTTTGGTTCTCCAGAAAAAAACTTTTGAATGTAACAAAAAAAAAGGACGTTTTTTATTCTATTTTAATCTAAATATTCAAGATAAATAAATAGAATTTAGGAGTTCATGTGCGGCAGAATAAAATGTGAATATTCTCCGTATGGTTACTCTCCGTATGAATCCTCTCCGCACAAAAAAATACTGTTTGTTGACACTAAAAACAAGTTATAAAGTTTGATTAATTAAATATTGCTTAAGTTATGAAATTATTTTTTTTCATACCAACTAAATAAACAACAAAAAAAGCATGTAAAAAAATAAGATTTTTTGAAATGAGACACCCTTAATACAGAGCTTTAGCACGGACATTTGATTTGAGACGTTTAAAAACACCTTATGAAATCAACATTTCATTTATTAAATTTTTTTTAATTTTCTGAGTTAAAATGGTCAGTATGCATCGCTTTGATCTTAATTGAAATTGTTTTTAAAACAACAAAAACAAGTAAGTTTAAATGGGCGTATTAAATGGGCGTATTTTTACTGTCAGACTACCTGTTTCTTGACTTAAAAATTTTTCAACAATTTTCATAACCTTTACAATAATTTTTGTCCAAACATTTTTTTAAATTAGTTAAAAATAAGTTTTATATTTAAATTAAGGTTTTAGCATTTTTATTTTGCAAGTTTTCAAAAAATATGTTCTTGATGAATCAAGTTTAGCAAACCTCAACATGTTGAGCATACTTTTATTTTGAATAATTTTTTTTTTTTTTAAATGAAATCAAGAAATTAAAGCAAATATTTTTAAAGAAAACTAATAGAACTACTTCTATTTTATGACAGTTATGTTTAAAATAAGTATTACTATTTCTGTTATAATGTAATAATACTATTAATTAAAATTTTTTTAAAAAAACAATTTAATTGTAACATTTAAAAAAACATAGTTAATTGTAACATTTATCATTATAAATATATAACATAGTAAATTGAAACATTTATCATTATAAACATAACATAGTTAATTGAAACATTTATCATTATAAACATATAACATAGTTAATTTGAAACATTTATCATTATAAGTATATATAAAATATTTTTTTGTATAAAATATATGCTTTATCTATTAATTTGTGATGTACTCAATAAAATCAAAATATCAAAATTTACCCATTAAAAGACTTTTTAGATCGAGTCCATTTAAACGTACATCTAACGTTGGTGAAACTGACTTAGTAAGAAAGGTATATTCCAAAAATAAAAATAAAATGATAGCATTCATTATTGCAAAAGTTAAAGAACTTGTTTATTTTTATTTTAAGAAAACAAAACATATATACATTTAAGTTTTTGAAGCAATTTTTAAAGCATATTGACAAATTTAGTTTCCGTGTTTTCGTTTAGGCCGCACTTAACTTTCGGCATATAAGACGTACATACCTTTTATTACTTATAAGTTGCTAATACATCGCAAGGAGATGAAAAAAAAGTTGAATACGGTTTTTTTCTACACTCAGATTTAACAGTTCCGTAAAAAAAGTATTTAACGGACGTATCATAATCAATGACGGAAGCAAATTAAATAAACATATCGTCAATTTTAATTGTAAAATAAGATATAAAAACTTTCTTGTTGATGCAGTTCATCAATTTAAATTGGAATAACATGGTTATAAATAGTAGCGGGTACATTAGTATTATTTGTGTGTACCATCAAAAACAGCTTAAACATGTTTTGAACATATTTGATTTGCTTATCTTCCTCCACTCATCCACAGTTATCGCCACCAAAATAATAGAGAGTTTAAGCATACAAGCGTTATCTCCAGGCGGAACTAGTACAAACGCTAGCAAGTTACCACGGCAAATTTAAAAAATGTTAAGCATGAAAACTTTTAACATACGCGCTTTAAGCCCTTAACTTGACTTATCTTTAAGTATTTTTAAGTATTTCCAAAAACGATTTCAAGAATAATTCCAAAAAATATCTGCTCTATAAACAATCAAAACAATCTTACAAGAAAATCTGCATCAAAGTTTACTTTAAATTTAATGATGACATTGGGAGTTAGAGAGACGTTAGGCTCATAAAAATTGAAGCAAATCATTCAAAACAAAAGTATGATTTTTAAAATGATTAATTATTAATGTAACGTACGTTTTTAGGCAGTGCAGAGTGGTCTAAAAAACTTGATTTTCGGCCAAAATTAAAAAAAACAAAAATCTCTAATTTTTGATATTTATTATTATTATTTTTAAACACAACAGGTTTCATATTTTTTTCTCAATAACCGTATCCAAGAGCGATTAAAAATCAAGGAATAATTTCTTACAAAAAAACAACATTTTTTCATTTGCGTATAAATTTAAAACTAATATGCACATATTTATAGATTTTTTTTTCAACAAATTTTATAGTATAGAGTTTAATTTGAAATAATAATTTTTTTTTATTATTGTATATTTGCATAAGTTATTTATGTTTGAAACTAGCATAAATTAAATTTTTTTTTTTATAATTTCAACTTTTTCTTTTTTCAAAAATCCGCATGCATGGACTTGATCGATATGATTTCATCAAGTCCGCATGCATGGACTTGATCGATATGATTTCATTAAGTCCGCATGCATGGACTTGATCGATATGATTTTATTAAATCCTAATAAGCATATATTATTTTGAAAAAAATGAACTGCAGATATAATTATTTAAACCAACTTTAAAGCTCCCAAAATATACCTATTTTATGTTATCAAAAATACTAGTGTCTCAATTTTTGTTTTGTTTCTATACATGATTATAAACATATTTTTTTTCTTTATACAACCGTAATTGCTACTTATTTTTACCTAAGTTGTTAAAAATACTTCATATATTCAATTTTATTTTATTTTTATAAAATATTCCATATATTTAAATAGATAAAAATACTTAAAAAAAAAAAAAAATGCATTTTTTAGTAAATTTAAAATCCATGTAAAATCCAAAGTCCGCTATTAAAACATATTTATCGTATATTTTGAACATCTATTATCGCTTAATAATTCCTAAAAAAATCAGCTGCAGATAATTAAAATAAATGAACTAATATTTATTGCAAACTACACCGGATTGACACCATATTTGTGTTGTTTCTAAACTATATTTTTAATCATATCTTTGTTATTCCAAATTGTACGTATACTTTTTATGTTATGGTTTTTAATTTAATGTACTGACTTATATATCTTTAGATTGATTATTAAATTGAAAATTAGAATAGTAGCTTTTTATAAAAAAATAAATACCCAATTTATGACTAACTTTTGGAATTTTCGCTTGTGATTTTTTTTATTTATTATTCAAAAACATTGATGAAAAACTTGTGAAAGATAAACGGAAATCATTGCTTACAATTTTTAACTAAAAGATTTAGTTTTTGCCTTATATAAAAAAAAAAAAAGTTTTGGGAAAGGGGGGGTGTTTCCCTTGACCTTCCCTCCTTCGCTGCAGCTTGCAGCTCATTTATATATATACATATATATATATATATATATATATATATATATATATATATATATATATATATATATATATATATATATATATACAAGATTTTCATAAAAAGTTTTCATATCTATATATATATATATATATATATATATATATATATATATATATATATATATATATATATATATACATACATATATATATATATATATATATATATATATATATACATATATATATATATATATATATATATATATATATATATATATATATATATATATATATATATATATATATGTATATATATATATATATATATATATATATATATATATATATATATATATATATATATATATATATATATATAATAGATATATATATATATATATATATATATAGATATATATATATATATATATATATATATATATATATATATTATATATATATATATATATATATATATATATATATATATATATATATATATATATATATATATATATATATATATATATATATATATATATATATATATAGATAGATAGATAGACAGATAGATATATATAGATATGAAAACTTTTTATGAAAATCTTGTCTTGGCCGCTTATGCTATATTTGAACAACAAAACCTATAAATCAAAAACTGTTTTCAGATTTGGATATAGCATTATCGATTTAGTATAAAAACATTAAAGTTTTAATTTTAGCCAAATTTCAAAATTTTCAGACCACTGTGTAAGAAATAAGATTTCTAGCGTACGTTTAAAACGCGATGCATTAAAAAGGAAGTTTCAATATGACATATTAATTATTTACGATAAATTCTTTTGTATTCCTACCACTGCCTCGACATAATGCTTGTATGCTTTAATTCTCTAATGATATCAATACAATTCTATTCGTTATAAATGTTGCACACTTTGCGAAAACTTAACACGCATTATTTTTTTTCGTGTTTAAATTCAAGGCAGGTACTTTGATATTTTTTAACCTGTTAAAAGCCTGGATGCAGGATTAAAAATTTGCCAAATATTTATATAATCACTATACAACCTATGTCTATATAACCATTGATATTTTAAGTGCAGCATTGTTTATACATAAATTAAGGGTTTTGGTTTAAGGCAGGTTGTTTATTATTTAAAAAAAAATCTTTTTTAAAAGGTTTTTTGGTCTTTTTAACTTTTTAACATTTAATTTGAAGACTAAATTTTAGACTATTTTTCTAATAGCAAAAATTTATGTTCATCAAACATAAGTAATATTTTTCTCTAATTTCTCATTATAAATCCAATGTTTAAAATAACATTTATTATAAAAGATAACAGTGATTAAATATTATTAACCAATAATGGGGTAAACTGCCCTATTCTACCCTATCGTTGTAAATATTTTAATTTTTAATTCCTTTACAAATGACGCCATTAGTTAACTTACAGGTTTGTAACAACTTCATACTTTTTGATTTTCAAAATGATAATTTGAAAGTTTTCAAAAATAATATGAAATTTCAAAAATAATATAAAAAAACCTACAAAATTCAAAAAATCAATAGGTGAAGCAGAGGTACCTAAGGCATGGAAACTTGCAAATATTTCCCCTTTTTTAAAAAGGGCAATCGTTTAAAATCATCTAATTATCGTCCAGTTTCTTTAACATCGGTTATTTGTAAGACTCTAGAAAGAGCAAATAGTGAACCATGTAACTAAAAATGATTTATTATCTCATAAGCAACAAGATTTTGTTAAAGGCAAAAGCTGCACGACAAACTTGTTGGATATTGTTACGTTTTCAATTGCAAATGGAAAACAAGTTGATGTCTTATACATTAGTTATGCTAATGCTTTTGATACTGTTGAACATGAAAGATTACTACTAGAATTTTCAGCTCATGGTATAAAATTGAATTTATTAAATTGGATCAGATCTTTCTTATCAAGTAGAAGTCCAAGGGTTATATATGGTGATGTAAATTCATTATGGCTAGAAGTCAGAAATGGTGTCCCACAAGGATCCGTTTTTGTTCCGCTATTGTTTAATCTTTACATCAATGATATGTGTTCATTACTTAAAAAATCCATGCGAGTTATATGCGGACGAATACGGAGTTATATGCGAACGATAGCAAAGTTATTGCTATATTATATGAAAGAAGTTCAAAATGATATTGACATTATTGAAGAATTGTCTAAAATGTGGAAGATGAAATTCAATTTAGATAAATGCAAGATTATGCACATTGGCAAGTTAAATCCAAAACATTTATATGCTGTTGAGCAAGGCGAATTTAAACAAGTTCTTAGCACTACTGAGTTGGAAAAAGATTTAGAAGTAACAGTTTCGCGAGATTTAGGAAGTTCTAATTAAATCAGCAGTAGCCAAAGCAAATAGTAGACTGGGTTTATTGTCAAAAATATTTAAATATAAAACTAAAAAATCTTTTAGACAATTGTACAAAAGCAATGTAATACCATATCTTGAATATGCAATTCAAGTTTGTTCACCTCATAAAAAAAAAAGAAAGATATAAATATCCTTGAAAACATACAAAGACGAGCGACAAAACTGATCCTGGAAATACGACATCTATCATATGAAAAAAGATTATGCTCGTTAAATTTAATAACTCTATCCGAAAGAAGAAAAAGAGGGGATTTAATACAATTTTTTAAATGCGATAAAAATGTAGAAAAAATTGAATGGCTGGTTCCTCCTAAAATAAATTATAAACTAGCTAGTTTATGAAAATCAGATCATCATACGATTACTGATACTTATTTCAAAAATGATCTTTGTGAAAATTTCTTTACAAATCGAGTGTTAAAATTATGGAACAAACTTCCTAGTTCAATAGTTGAATCGCAATCTGTTAATGAGTTTAAATCGAAAATAAACAAGCTATGCTTTGCAAGCTAATTATTGGTTTTATTTAAGTTGTTTCGTAAAATCTTGTAAAACCTTGTAAATATTATAAGAAAAAAGTAGTTAATAATAATTTAATATAGTTATTATTGTTTTATTAGTTTTTTTGAGTTTTCTTTTAACTATTAAAAAAAAATACTGTTAGTTAGTTTCAAACATCTTCACATTTTTTTGCCTGGAAAAATATTTGCATTTTTAAAGCATCTTACTTATGCATAAAAAACTAAATATACCACTTCATTTCTTATATCTCAGCGGGCGCAAGACAGGTTGAAGGCGTTTAAAAAACGAAATCACACGTATAAAAAAACGTATCACATAAAATATATGCTTCAAAACAATTTAATACATTTTTAGACGTCTAAAACACGCCTTGTGCCCACTGATATATTAGGTTTTTCTAATTTAATTTATATACTTTTAAGTATAATTCCATTACTTAATAATATAATTTATGTACTTTGCATAAGTTATGTACTTTTGTATGACTTATGTACTTTTAAATATAATTTGAATAGTTTTTAATGTAATTTGTGTACTTTTTAATATAATTTATGTACTTTTTGATATAATTTGTGCACATTTTGATATAATTTGTGTACTTTTTTAACATAATTTGTGTATTTTTGTGTATTTTAACATAAATTGTGTACTTTTTTAACATAATTTGTTTATTGTATTTAATTTTTTCATTAAAGTTTGTTTTTGTGTGAAATGAACATTTTAAAGATTAAGGTTCAACTCTTTAAGATTACACACAACAAACTAAAATTGACTTAATTTCTACTAGATTCGCAATATAAAAGTTGCTTAATTGAATAACATATCAGAAAAAATTAACGATGCTTTAGAAAACCAGTTGAGCTTTGAAAACGTTTAGACTATTAAAATTATCGCAAGTTTTGCGACAACAGTTAGGAAGGAGGCGTGAGCTTCCTATTAAATGCTCTTCCGCGGTGCTCTGTGACCACCTCTGTGATAAGGACTTTTTGGTTAACTTAAAGAAAATCAAAATTTTTTTTTCTTATTATTATGTAGTTGCAAGAATTGAAACAGCTTTAAGTTATATAATTAAAAGATTTAAAAACTTTAATTCTTATCAATCCAATCCTTAGGGAGGAAAGTTTATTGAATATGTCAAATAACTAAATGTTTATTGTTTTCCATGACTATATTAAAACCTTACTTGTATTGATTCAAGATTATATCATGTTTAAATAATATAATTTTAATTAGCTCATAAGTCGGGCACATATCATTTTTATATAAAAACCAATATTTGATTTGTAAGTGTAATTCACTATTTTCAAGGATTCTAAAAGGTGACCTAATAAAAGAAAGACTATAAGTAAACTAATAAAAGAAAGAAGGATTATAAGTAAACTATTTTGTTATATAAAAAACAAAAAATAGAAAGCAAATACAAAAAGTAATTTTAACAATTCATTTTTAAATATTGGTATAAAGATGAAATATAAAAATGATCTCACTTAAAGAAAATTAAAAATTTATTTTTATTGTTATGTAGTTACATGGATTAAACACAGCTTTAAGTTAGATAATTAAAAGATTTAAAAACTTTAATTCTTATCAATCCAATCCTTAGGGATTGGATTGATAAGAATTACATCGACTCACATCGACTTATCAAGTTCATCACATCCACCTCACATCGACTTATCAAGTTCATCACATCAACCAAGATCAAAACAAATTAAATAAAAGAAAGCATCGTGGCCTTTATAACAAAACATTTAATAGTTTTCTGAAATAAATTTAGATGCTTTATTCAACTCATAATTTTAAAATGCTTACAATGGTTGCGCCTTCTAAATGATTTTCTTTATAATATACTAAAAAAATATATATACATATACGACAAATTACATGCTTAAGCTCTAAATATACCCGTTATATTTCTTTTTTTTTCAAAACCACATAATCTGCAAGTTCACTTTTACATTAACTTAATAAAATATAATACAATTATATTATACTTCAATAATTTAGAGTTGAACGTTTTGTTTGCAACATTGTTCTAACGTTTTACCAACTAATGTGTGCTAAGTTGATTACAACATTTAACTTGTTAAACTGTAGATTTTAGCGTGTGTGTGTGTGTGTGTGTGTGTGTGTGTATGTGTGTGTGTGTGAGTGTGTGTGTATGGTTATTAAAGTGCTCCAACAATTCTTTACGGTCTTATCACAGAGCAGAAGAGCATTTAACAAGGAATTTCATGCCTCCTTCGTTAACAATGCCGCTTATTGGGCGAGAGGCGGCATCGAACTCGAGACCTCTTGGTTCTGAGTAAGGATATAACCACTGCGCCACGGATGCATCATGCTGATCTTTGCAGTAAAAGCGCAACAAGTACCTTCGAATTCTAAGCAACGGTACCACTGTAATAAACATCTTCCAGTAATATGTTTAAAAACAAAATAAATAGAGAATATAGTAAAAATTTTTTATGAAAGAAACAAAAAAAGATCTTCGTAAGAAAGGTATTGAACCCAAAGTATATGAACGTGTTTATCGTGTATTAATCCTACGTTTAACATGTATTAATCCTACAACCGTGATAGCCACTATCTAAAAAAAAAGGGTATTTTTCCAAACTTAGAAGGTAGGAAGCAACACCATTACAGAAGAAATCACTTCCACAATGTACAGCTTTTTAACTAATTTTTTTTTTTTAAGTTAAATTATTTTTTTAAAAGTATTTATAGTATTTTATAGTTTTTATAGTATTTATAGTTTTTAAGTTAAATTATTAAAGCTAAAGTTTTATTAAATAAATAATCAAAAACATTAAACTTAATATATTTTTAGTTGTGAAGAATTGTTTCCAAAATATTCTGTGTGATTCATATGCGAATGATATTGAGACATAAATCCAAGCTGCAAGAATTGGAATTGCGTGGTGGATCTTGATTCTAAACTTTTACTTTCTGGGTGAATATAGTTATATTAACGGATGAATATAGTTATATTAACGGTGAATATAGTTATATTAACGGTGAATATAGTTATATTAACGGTGAATATAGTTGTATTAACGGATCATAATTAGCTCTCGCAATACTGAGTAAACAAACTTAAGAAGCTGTTTCAAAAACATGGACAAAACCGTGAAGCATTATTTAGTTTCGAAACGAAATGGTAATTTAAGGCAAGCGAAACTGTCAATTAAGGCTTGTCAATTAGGATTATTTACTAATTTTTACACGGATTCAAAACAATTCCAAATGCGCAACCGGAATGAACCCTCGCGCGTATTTTGAGTAGCATCTATATTGACTGAGGTATATTCTATATTTTATTCTATATAGCATCTATAGATGCTATTTAGATTTAAATTGCCTTAATAGAGTTTTTTTTTTTTTTTTTTAAGGGGGGGGGGGGTTATGGCATGGTATTTATTACTATTTTCATGATATATTCAATGATAACAATTGTTAAGAAAATAAAACGTGGTTATTCGTAAAATTGTGAACACAAAGTTATTACTAGAGCTATATTTTGACAAAAAAAAAAGTTATATCATTTGATATCGTTAGGCCTTTGATGAGTCGAATTTTATTTTTTTTTTGATGAAAAATTAATTTTTTAGTTTTTAAATTGCTAAGTTTTAAAGATTGTTATTTAATGTGTCTATTGGTAAGTAACATTGTTTTGTAAATTATATTGAAAAACAAACCCCAAGTTCGTCAATTTGACAATGTTGACATTTGCTGAAAAAAGAATGCAGTATTTTATACCATTTTATTAGGAATTTAAATAAGACAATATTTTTGTTGCTTCTGTTATAATTATTTTAAAAAAATATTTTCCCATTTTTACTTTTATCTGTGTGTGTGTGTGTGTGTGTGTGTGTGTGTGTGTGTGTGTGTGTGTGTGTGTGTGTGTGCATGTGTGTGTGTGTGTATATATATATATATATATATATATATATATATATATATATATATATATTTTATATATATATATATATTTATATTTAAACAGAAAATAATATATATATATATATATATATATATATATATATATATATATATATATATATATATATATATATACATATATATATATATATATATATATATATATTTATAAATGAATATATATATAAATGAATATATATATATATATATATATATATATATATATATATATGTATATACTATATATATATATATATATATATATATATATATATATATATATATATATATATATATATATATATATATATATATATATATATATATATATATATATATATATATATATATATATATATATATATATATATATATATATATATATATATATATATATATATATATATATATATATATATATAAATGAATATATATATAAATGAATATATATATAAATGAATATATATATATATATATATATATATATATATACTATATATATATATATATATATATATATATATATATATATATATATATATATATATATATATATATATATATATTATTTAAAGCAAGAGCTTTAGCTCTCGCCCATTTTCCTCTAAAGTGGTTTACAGGAACAATTTATGGTTCTTGCAAAAGTATAATTTTCATATAAAATATAATTGTATATTTTTCATAAAAAAACACACTATTTTCTTTTCTCTATATTTAGATATAGAAATAGTCAAGAAAAGTTAAAAACTCTTGTGCAAACTACATTGAATAAACGAAAACAAAGTTCCAGTTTCAGATTGATTTTTTTTGATTACAAAATGTGATGGCATATTTTTAGTAAAGTTCTAATAAATAAATAGATAGCTAGTGTGAAACCTAAAGAAAACGCTCATCTAAGGAATTTTTTCACAAAACTACTTTAAATGACGCAAGTTATAAATATAATCTGTTAACATTAAAGTTATAAGCAAATGATTGTAACAAGAGTAAACTTAAATTTTGTATTTAATAAGCAATTTATTTAATAAATAAACATATAGCTTGCCCAAAAACCAAAAGTTCTCATAAAAAGCTATTTAGAGAAGTAGCTTGCATGTCTCACCATGTTTGTTTGATGTGAGTTTTTCTCCACTACTGCACTCTATATATATATATATATATATATATATATATATATATATATATATATATATATATATATATATATATATATATATATAAGATGAAGATTGTAGAGCAAGATAAAGATTGACAGATGACACAAAAGATTGCAAATTATATGAAACAGGAAAGCAAGGTGAAGGAAGCGAATTCCTAAGATCTAATGTTCGAAAAAAAACTAGAGGAATAGCAGTTTTTGAAGCACTTAGGAACAGTAACAGAAAAAGGATGAGACTTAATTGAATGACGAGTAACACGAGAATGAATTTTAGTAGATGGCACAAGAGGCGCTAGCTCTTTAGAGCAGTGCCCATTATAGTATTTGTAGAAAATAGAAAAAGAAGCAACATTATGACAATGTGATAATGGTTGAAGGTAGGCTGCAAGAGCAGGTCTAACTATGTTTACAATGCATTTTTGCACCTTGTCTAAAATAGAAAGAGCATCATTAGAAGATCCACCCCAGATATAGCAAAAGTATTTCATACAAGGCCGGATTTGAGATTTATAGAGATAGAGAATAGAATCCGGAGTAAGTAAGTGTTGAGCTTGATAAAGAGATGCAACCTTAGCAGATACTAATTTTGCAACGGATTTGTTATATGGTTTCCAAGAAAGATCAGAAGTAAGAGTTAATTCTAGAAGATGACTCATTGAGTACATTACTGTTAATAAATATAGGAAGGTCTAAATTATTGCGATAACGATTGTCTGAAAAAAATTGAGTTTTATTCATTAAAATTAAAGTTCACCAGCTACTGTGAGCCCCATGTTGTAGCAGAAGTGAAATCTTTTTCAAGCTCAAATGCCCCCTCCAAGGAATCAGAGAGTTGGCTTCTTATCATGACAAGAGTAAATGGTAGTCACATCAGCAAACAATGCCACCTTAGATGTGAGAATATCTGGAAGATCATTAATGTAAATTAAAAAGAGTATAGGGCCAAGGATTGAACCTTGAGGAACCCCTGAGGTTACAGAATAAGAAAAAGAGTACTATCCATCGAGGACAACTTTTATACTAAAGAAGATCGTACTGATTTTATCATCAGAACCTTTTACAAGCGTGTATATAAACTACATAAAAACATAATCAACAAAATAAAACGTAATTAACAGTATAAGTTCTGAAGAAAATATAAAATTATAAAAATAGGAAGGATTCAATAATCTTAAAGATATTTCCAGATACACCGTAAGAAGAAAGCTCATGGAGAAGACCAGCATGCCAAACTTTATCAAAAGCTTTAGAAATGTCAAGAGCGATAGCTTTAACCTCTCTATCTTTATCTAATGCACAATCAAACCTATCGGTTATTACTGTTAGCAAATCAGCTGTAGAATGAAAAGATCGAAATCCATATTGATGATCAGAATGTAAGTTTTTAGATTCTAGATGAGTGAATAAGTGTTTGTAAATTAAAGATTCAAAAACCTTGCTTATGATAGGAAGAAGACTAATGGTATGGTAGTTAGACAAATCAGTTTGCTCTCCAGAATTTTCAAAAGTAGGGATAACAGATGCTGCTTTCCAGCAAGCGAAAACAAGACTAATGAACACTTGTTGAATAGTTTTGAAAGTATAGACGACAGCTCCAGAGAACACTTCTGCAAGACTATAACAGGTATGTTGTCCGGGTCACAAGCTGTAGAAGAGTCTAAGCTGGAAATCATTTTAGATACAGAAACTGGAGTGATACGAATGTCAAGTAATGAATCAACGTGTTTGACGGCTATATCAGGTAGAACGCAACTAGTGGAATGAAGAGATGATATTAATGAAAAGTTCTTAGCAAACAATTCAGCTTTGTCTTTAAGTGAGGTGACAAAGTCTGAACCATACAAGAGAAATGGAATTACAGATTTGCCCTTATTATTGATTCTATTAAAGAGTCTCTAGAAGTCACAAGAACCTAATTTTTGTGATGAAATATAAGATTTCATGACCTGAGAATAGCTTTGGCGTTAAACAAAACCTTTTTACAATGGTTACTAGCAGTTGTAAACAGACATCTGTTTTCTGGAGAATTGTTTTGCTGATAGATATGAAAGTAACATTTTTGATTGGAGATTGCAGCAGCACAGTGTGAGGAAAACCATGGAGAAGAGTAAGGCTTGACCTGTAATCGTCAAGAAGGAATAGAAGATTTGTTATGTAAGAAAAAAGTTAAAAGTTATGTAAGAAGCACATTTGTCAGCAGGAAGACGAAAGCTTTCTATCTAAGGGCCATCACAAAGAAAATCACGAAAAGAGTCCCAGTCAGCTTTAAGGTAGGTATAAAAGGTACATGATAGAGGGATTCAGATGATGAAGAAGAAGAGATCAAACCGTGAGGGTGAATATGGAGAAACTGAGCACTGACTAGGATCAGTGCTCTTGACATAAGTCGAGTAGAGAAGGTAAATGATTTGGGGTGTCTAGAAAGCGAATTGGAAAGTTGACTATTTGGGTGTGGATTGAGAAAGGCAAAAGTTGTGTGCTTTAATGTCTGCAGAGTAACTGACAATAGAGCCAAGCTATTCAGTATGATGAGCATTAAAGTCACCAACAACAACAATATTGGCTGATGGGTAAAGAGAGAGGGCTTGGTCAATTTGATCAGAAATAACATCAAAAGAGTGCAGTCTTGAGATGAAGGAGAGTGATGTAGAATATAGAAGTGATAAAGAGAAAGGTGATAAAGTAAAGTGATGCTAAATGAAAGCACATAAAAGAATAGTTTGTGGAGTCAAACCTAGTTTCCCAACAAATGGGCGAATTCTTACGTAAAATGTAAATGCCCAGACCAAGCATGTGACTATTGGAGTCTTTATGAATTAAAGGAAGATAACCATCAACACAAGATCACAAGATGAGACAGCTGAACTCAAGTTAGTTTCACAAAGAGGAAGTAGGTCTGGTGAACTTTGCAAGAGATACGACTCAACAGAAGAAAATTTTCTTTGAAGACCACAAATATTAGTGAATGATAGGTCTAGAGAACTTGGTGATGACAATGTTTTTTTGTGTTTTATAGTTTTTGGCACTTTATTCATTTTTAAATTTGTTAAAGAACTTGACTCATAGATATTATTCAGTACACTGTTTAAATGCCAAAGCAAAAGTCTCGTTACTGTTAATAAGCCCTAAGCCGTAACATAGGGTTCCAAATGTGGCCTTGGCAATGCGCAATAAAAGTACAAACAGGGACACCATCCATGCGCAACATGGCTCTGTTAATACTTTGATATTTTTCAGCTGTTGATGGAATGAGCCTCGCTGAGAGCTTCCACAGAGCTCGGGAAACCTGACTACCATTAGGAAATACTAGAATGAGTTGCCTAGTCATAAAAACAGAGACACAAGCAAAAACCATACATCGAGTGAAGATGATCCAGCATTCAAAATCCTAAACTGAAAACAATGTATTAAAAATATATCTGCGCTAGCCTAATAGATAAAGAAGAGGTGGTAGGCTGGTCAACAAATAGAATCTGTTTACCCCTTAAGTCTTGGCCTAGGAGGCCTTCTACAAGACAGCAGCCCGATGCATTTAACATCTGCCCAAGATGAGAATTTTTATAGAGACACCATCTCTAGCCTTTACTCAACCAAGGGTCTTAAGGCTAGGGGTATGTTGGAGTTGGCATCTTCTAGCCATTGCCTATAAAGGCGTATCCTACAAGGCAATGAGACATGAAGCAGATTGTACTTGGTCACATGTTGCCAGTAGCAGGATAACCTGACCTGACAAATATACATTTAATATGATATATATATATATATAATATATATATATATATATGTGTGTGTGTGTGTGTGTGTGTGTGTGTGTGTGTGTGTGTGTGTATATATATATATATATTTTAACATAATTATATATTTAGACAGAAACTATGAAGGTGTAGTATTGATACTTAATCTAATCATCGTTTACTGTGCGCATGACTTTTTATTTATGACTGAATCAAGTCTTTTAGTCATGATAAATAAGATAATTTATATATTTACATGTATACTTTAAAAATAATTTTTTTTTGATAATATTAGGGACCCGTTTAATGTTTAAGGATCTTGAATAAACCCTTATTATTATTATTATTATTATTATTATTATTATTATTATTATTATTATTATTATTATTATTATTATTATTTAAATCTAATTTATGAAAGCCATTGTTGTTTTATATAGTGCAAAACTAGTAGTAATAGTGGAGATTTTCAAATAAAGCTGTTTATTTGAAAATGTATATATAAACATCAGAAAATCAAGTACACTTAATGTAAAAATTATTAAACCCAATTAAGGCAACTAATAAAATTTAATTTTTTATAATAAACCACAAAAGTGCAACTTAATAGACTATAGTTTTTTATTTTTTGATAAAAATATAAATATTCGGAATATTTTTATTTTTTTACTGTTTGCATACATCAACTGACAAATAGGTGAATATGTGAAGAGTGCTGCTTCATCGGCTAATAAATAGGTGAACATGTGAAGAGTGCTGCTACATCAATTGACAAATAGGTAGAACATACAAGAAGTACTGCTACATCAACTGGCATATAATTATAACATGTAAGGAGTGCTGCTTAACAGACTGACAAATAAGTAGAACATATGAGGAGTACTGCTACATCAACTAATGTTATTGGTTTGGGCAGGCAATCTACCATTTAAAAAAAATAATTTTTTTAAAGTTTCTAAATATTTTAGAATTTTTTACAGTTGTTATATTTATTTATTTTCTTACAGTTTATTTTTTTTTTGCTAAAGTTTTCTTAAGCTTAATTTAGATTATGTATATATTTATACAAACATATATTGTTAAAATGTAAGTTTGATTGTATGAAATAAAAATATTTAAGTTATGATTTATTTTTATTAAATAAGTTTGACTCTTTTTATTATCCTTAAACATCTTTAATTTAAAAAATGTTTAGTTAATTTTATATAAGTCCAAATTTTAAGTTGGAAAACCTTTTAGGAAAAAAATTACTTAAGACATTTAACAGGCCCGAAGTTAAATAGTTATTCAAAGATAGACAATCAATATTGTTCATCTGAAATATGAAAATTAAAAATTAGATGATCAAATTATTTTTTTGGCAATCAAAAAAAAAATTTAACTTAATTTTTATATTATTAATTTTTATATTATTAATTTAGTAATAATATAAACATAAAAATAAATATTGTTTATATTATTATTAAGCAAAACAACAGACAATAAAGTAAAAGTCTCGAACAATAAAGTTGCAAACATAGATAATAATTAAAGAATAAATTTCTAATAAATGTGAAATAAAATATTCCATTTTATATAAAAGCTTTTTATTTTACTTTATCCTTTTTACTTTTTGCTGTTTTTAAGTTATTTTATTTAAAATTTTCTATTCTTTTTTTTTTATTTTATTTCTTTGTTAAATTTAAAAATCATTTAACTAAATTGCTAGTAAAAATTTTTTTGAAATCTTTAGAAAAAAATGGTTTAATTAAAATATTTCTCAAAACAAAGTTTTCTCCAATGATTTTAAATTCTCTTTATTTGTTATTATTTGGGCTGTCAAAACATGTTAATTTATGTTTTAAACTGAAGTTTGCTATGTTTATCCCAATAATCAAGAACATTTATTACTTTTGATCATATAATATAATTTAAGCACGGATTTATATCTTTTTGTTTTTTTAGTTTATTTATATTATCTATTTTAAATATTTGACTCACAATTTTTGCCAATGAAATATGATTGGCAAGAATAGATTATGGGGTATCAAAATATCATTTTTTCTTTAAGTAGCCAATCAATGGTAGTTGATCTGCTTTTATTTTGTGCATCTTTTTTATTGTATATTTATTGTAAATTGTATATTTGTACCCCTGTATATACGTAATTACATTTAACTCAACCACTTTCAATTAAATGTTGCTTTTTTGGCATTAGTTACTATTAATTTTAATAGGAAATTTATTATAGAATTTTCATATGCAGAAAAAATTCCTAGTGATTATTGATGTTGTTTTCATTGTTGTTATGATTTATTAAAATTATTTTTTAAATTCATTCATTATTTTTGTTTAGAGCTGTGATGAATACAACTCGAATTAAAAAAAGTTATCTTTTCATTTTCTGTATTTGTTTGATTACTTTATGGTTTGTATTCTTTTATTCAAATCAAAAAAAAACTGAATATCTCGATTTAACTATAGTAATCCCAGAATTTGAACATTTTGATCATAATGTTGTTGAGACAATAAATAGCATTATCCCTTTTTATCCAGACTTAAAGATTCTTGTTATCTCCTCAACAGTTCCATATCCTTACTTCAAATTGCCAGGATATAATTCTCAGTTTGTAATAAGAAAGAAAGATCCAAGAAAAGCTGGTTATTTGTCAGACCCTTTTTATTATATAAATACGAAATATATGTTAGTAATTCCAGATGGTTCTAGAATTGATATAGGCTTAAATGAGCTATTGGAAAAATTTAAACAGCAAAGTAAGAAAGTTTTTGTTTTGCCAATATCTACTGTTTTGTCTTCTTGTAACTTAATGGAAGTTGATCTCAAAAAATGGACATTAAAATATTTTGAGAAAAAAAAAGTGGAATCGTGTGATTCGTTTAATCGGCAAGTTGCCCTGTTGTTTGAAAGATCAGCAATTAGCAATTTTAGTGATCCTTTCCTTTTACCATTTTTTGAATCTTTTTTTATACAAGCTAAAGTCAATGGTTTAAAGCTTCATCTGGAAAACACAGTCTATATTTCTGTTGGAAAAATTCTACATACTGATAGTCATTTGAATTCCAAACATTTACAACATGTGCAGACATTAAAAAGTAATTTGTACAAAAACTTGGGAATCAAATACAGTCTAAATCCTAATGGCATTGAAGCATGGCATGGGTGCACAAAAAAAACTCAAAGGTGTTTTCCAACTGTTATTGATGTTCCAGAATATCTTCATGAAAAACGATGGACACCTCCTTGTTGCCTTGATGCTTTACGGAAAACTGCACGTCATGTGTTTTTAATTTTTGAACAAGCTAATTTCAAATACTGGCTTGAGGGTGGAAGCTTACTTGGTGCTGCTCGCTATAGTGATATTATACCATGGGATTATGATGTTGACATTGGTATTTTCATGGACCAGATTAAAGAGTTCCCTATGCTATCAAAAGTCTGGAAAGGTCAACGATATATAGATCATGATGGTTTTGTTTGGGAACGAGCAGAGGAGGGTGAATTTATTCGAGTACAGTATAGTGAAATGAATCATTTACACGTTGATATCTACCCCTTTTATGAACGAAACAATGTTATGACCAAAAATACTTGGATGAAAAACCACCGTCAAGATATGGAGTTTCCTTCTCACTACGTAAAAAATTTAGAACAACTGAGATTTGCTGGAGCATTGGCATGGGTACCTAACCACTATAAAGAATTTCTTGAGTTAAAGTTTGGGAAAAACTGTATAGAAAATCCACAGTATCCTTTTCCAGAAAAGCTGGAACATTTTTAGACTAAATTACCTGTTTACAGGGCTTAAATGGGGACCAAGCTAAACTGCCAACTACTCAAAGCCAAAAAAGTGCTCCTTTGTAAATATTAGTTTTATTTTACATCCATAAAGCTTTAGAAAAGTACTTTTATAAAATCTCATTTATAAAAAAAAGAAGGAAATAAGACAGTTAAACCATTTTTTTGTCCAGTTCAAAGAAAGTGTCTCACTTTATATTTGTAAAAGTAAAATTTTAATGGTTAATTATTTTATTATTTAATCTTATGAATGAGATGTTTATAGTTTTTGTATACCACTTTATATATATATATATATATATATATATATATATATATATATATATATATATATATATATATATATATATATATATATATATATATATATATATATATATATATATATATATATATATATATATATACATATATATATAAATATATATATATATATATATATATATATATATATATATATATATATGTGTGTGTATATATGTATATATAAAATTGATTCTATTTATTTGAGGTTATATTTTGTAAACAAATTTTTTTTGATCGTTCTGTTTTGCAACCGGATTATAATTATAATTGAATTTTTTAAGTTATTAATTCAAATTTTATGCTTCTCTTCACTAAGTTATAAAAAAATTGTATTATTAAAAAAATTCTTCAAACAATAAAGCGCTTTTCTATTTACTTGCACTTCTGTTATAATGTTGAATGATTATCAAAATAACTATTCAATGAGTATTTGCTTTAAATTGTTTGACAAATCAGCGCAATATTTAAATTTTTATGTAAATTTTTGTTGTCTAACTTGTATTAAAGAGTAGTGGCAAGCTATACGAAATTTGATCGTTATTTAAACGCATTTTTAAGTTGTTTTGTTTCAGCTTTACTATATAATAATTTTTTACTTTAAATTTTTGTTTGTATTTATGTTAATACTGTTATTGTTTTTGTTATTATATTTTACTTTGTGTTTTTTATGAAGTTTTTGCGTGTTGATATTTCCGTATTCTATAGCACTAACTCGAAGAAGATATGTAACCTAGATGTTTTAATTAAACAGTTTTTGCTGATTATATGTTTATGTATGATATATCACCAGTATAATTGCGTAAATGAAACCGATAACAAGCTTTGTAGTTAGGAAAAGTATGGCGAAATAACTTTTTTCTTTTTTAGAGTCCGTTCTTTGTTGTCTTGTGTCTAACGTATTTGATGAAATTCGTATAATTTAGGTGAACAATGGTGAATGTTCCTGGGCTAATTTCTATTTTAATATTTTATGCTTTGATATTTTTTATTGGATTATGGGCTGCTCGAAAAAAGAAAACAGGAAAAGGCAGCAAAGATGATGAGCTATTATTAGCCGGTCGAAACATTGGCTACATTGTTGGAGCATTTACTATGACAGGTAATCATTAAATTAGAAAGTAATTCCTTGTTTTCCGTTGCTTTATAATAAATTTTATTCATACATTTTTTCTTTACCGATATGGAAAGAATTTCTAACTCTATTTCTGTAGCAACGTCAGTTGCTTGTAGCGCTTTTAAATAAGTACTTATAAGGTCAGGAAGTGGTTCTATATTTTCCTTTTTTTTAAATAATTTTTTTAATATTGAATATTAAATTTCGTACTATATTTCGTATATTTTAATTTTTTTAATTTTGTTAGCAACTTGGGTTGGAGGGGGATACATAAATGGTACTGCGGAGTCCGTGTACTTAACAGGCCTTGTCTCAGCACAAGCTCCGTGGGGGTATGCTTTAAGTTTGGTTTTTGGTAAGTGCATTTTGTTAAGAAAATTTCTTTTCTTATTTACATTTTTTTGTTGTTAAGCATAAAGCTCGTATATTTTGTATAAAAAAACAAAATTAAATCTTTGTCTTTTTTTTTCTTTTATATTATATATATATTTTCTTTTATATATATATATATATATATATATATATATATATATATATATATATATATATATTTTTTTTTTTTTTTCTTTTATATTATATATATATATATATATATATATATATATATATATATATATATTTCGTTTGGTGTAGTGTTGTATAAAAATAATACAAAACTGTTATTCGTTGAAAATTGCTCAATATTTAGGAAGTTTATTTTGATTATATATAAATTTCAAAACAGAGCGGTTTATAATTAAAAACAAAAAAGAAAAATCTTTTATAATACAACTTTAAGTTTCATGTCAATCATCAGTCATATATTATCCTGATTATAAGTTTATGTATGATTAAAAAAAAATAAAAAAGTTATTTCGCCGGTAATATATGGCTGATGATTGCCGTTAGGCATGAAACTTAAAGTTCCATAATAAAAGTTTTTTCTTTTTCGTTTTTAATTTTAGACTAATTTTAGACCCTTAGTCGGCAAATTGGACCCTTTTAGACTAGTTAGTCGGCAAATGTCGACCCTTTCGTTATTGGTTATTCGGTAATCTAGACAGTCGGCAAATGTCGTCATGGCAGTCGGCGAATTTTGGAAAACGAGGACTTTTTTTTTTTTTTTTTTTTTTTTTTTTTAGTCGTTTTTTTTTTTTATATATATATATATATATATATCTGTGTGTGTATGTGTATGTATATATGTATGTATATATATATATATATATATATATATATATATATATATATATATATATATATATATTATATTGTATATATATATATATATATATATATATATATATATATATATATATATATATATATATATATGTA